GCCCTACTTCGCTAATAGCAAAGACTGCGAGATCTTTCTAGCTATAACAAAGAGAGGCCCTCAGCAGCCATCTCTATGTTAGAGAACATTAAGATTCTACAAGTGAACCTAAACAAGAGCCTACACGCTACAGAGTTAACGCTACAACTAGCAGTCGAGCTTAAAGTTGATATTATTGCAGTCTAAGAGCCATGGATTGCCCCATTAAGCAACAACAACTACTCAGCAGCTAGGTCAGTTGCCCACCAAGCATTTACCTAGCTGCTCCCACTAGCAGATAACAGTCTCCGCCCAAGGGTTCTATTTTATATATCTAGAACAGCAAAGGCAGAGACATCTCTACTAGAGGGACTAGCAGCTGACCCAGACGCTATAGTAGTAGTTGTTAAAGGGCAGAGCTTTAAGTTTAATATTGTAAACGTGTACAACGAAAAAGGTCCACTAGGGACTAAGACGTTCCCAAGAGTCCTCCTAAGCACTAGGCTACCAGCAGCAACAATACTAGCTATTGACGCTAACGAGCATCACCCCTGGTGGGATCCGCTATGCCCAACCACTAGCTAAGGCGCTCAAGAGCTAGCCGACTGGATAGAGGACCAAAACCTAAGCCTACTCAACACCCTAGGTGCTGGGACCTTCTTTAGGCCGCACCTATTAAGAGAGCTAGTATTAGACCTATCACTTGCCACGCCAGATATAGCTAACAAAGTTAAAGACTGGCAAGTTACTACAGAAACTGGCTTAGACCACTATGGGCTGCTCTTCTCTATCCAAACAATAATAGAACTAGTAGACAACTTAGCAGCCTAGCAGAAGTACAACACAAAAAGGGCTAACTAGCTGCTATTTTAAGAAGAACTAGCAACAGCAATCTAAGGCAACGCAATACTACAGAGCCTAGACTAGATCAATAGCCCAAGGAAAGCAGACTCAAGAAATCTACTCCTAGGCTAAGACCAACAGCTAAAGCTGCAACTAGAAGCAATTGGAGAAGCAATTACTCTAGTAATACAACAAGCTGCAGATAAAGCTATCCCACAGCTAAGGCAAGGACTAAAGCCTAAGCTATGGTGGAGCCAGGAGCTTACTAAGCTAAGAAGAGACGTGTCCTATTACTAAAGGATATTCTCGCAAAAGCTAAAAGAGACTTCTATACAAGAAGCTTACCTATATAAGAAGGACTTTCTAGCAGCGCGAAACACCTACTAAAGGGCCATTAAAGAGGCAAAAAAGAAACACTAGAACGATTTTCTAGAGAGAGAAGACCCACAGTCTATCTTTAAAGCAATGGCATATACAAAGGAGCAGCGAGTAGAGAGAATACCTCCTATACAAGGAGAGGCCCTAGAGACTACGTTTAAAGGAAAGTGCAGAGCCTTTAGAAAGGCGCTTTTCCCTCCGCCTCCAACTACCCAGCCGCCTAGCTTCTCGAGCTACAGCGAAGGAAAGTGGGAGTGGCCAATACTATCAATAACTGAACTAGAACAGGCCTGTTCTAGCAAAGTTAAAAGTAGTACACTAGGCCTAGATGCTATTACTTAAGACATCATTACTGCCGCCTTTCAAGCCCAACCAAAGACGCTATTTAAAGCTTACTCTCTACTATTCAACTATAGATACTATCTAACCCTGCTAGAAAAGAGCTATAGGGGCAATACT